AGTTTAATAGGGAACTGAACATGTGTTGTACATGAGTGTACCTTATACTGGCATAACCTCCTCTTCTGAGAGGCAACTCTACCCCACACTAGAGAGATTTACACCAGCGTAAGATGAGAGTCATGTGTCCTCCCTGCATATTCTACAGAAAGTCAATTTACTGCTTAATAAATGTGTCACCTGTCCATATGGAGATGATAATGTCGGCCTCTTATGATATATTTTAAGCACTTCCTTTGGTCTTTTCTCCTATATTCTCACAGGACATTTCACTCCTTAGAGCTCACCTGCATCCTTTTCTCTGCATGAAACCCTGGTTTTGTTTGACGTATCCTCATCTATCCCAGCACAACCAACATGGGGTGCTACCTAATCAGGATATAGAACAGGAAGAGAAAACCAGCTCTGTCCTACAGTGGTGGTGGCACTGGAGCCATACCAACAGCAACCCAGCCCATCAGCTACATGGCACTGAGCGCACTTACTTGGCTTTGTGTCCGGACACCACCAGTAGCCTGTGTATCGATCAAATTCCTCCTGCAGCACAAAGGTTGCGACTCCAGCAGATTTTGGATCCTCTTCTATGTTGGCCAGTTCTGAGGACACAACGGGAGAAAGCGTTAGGCTCCAAGCCTGGCTGCTGCCAAGGAACACAACCAGCTTCACATTTTCCCAACTGAGGGCCAAATTCACCCTGCAAGGAAGCAATTACCCCAGAGGTGAACCCAGTCGCTAACAAGATTGCAGCTGTCTCCTGCTCCCACTCAGCTCTGATCAAGCTGCCGGCTGATGGGATTTTCAGAGTAACAATTTCCATTGCCTTGACAGCAACCCTTTTCACACCACTGAAATCGTCCTCAGATGTACTCATCTCCCTCGCAGCCACAATCCATCCTCCCCGCTCCTGACCCTCATTCTCACAAGCAGAGGGAATCATAATGGTTTCAAACAGCAGGAGAAGTAGGAAAAAGGCAGCCCCCAAAGAGGAGAGAATAACTATCCCACAGCACATGCTCTTGTCGGGGCTGAAAGAAGGAGGAAGATGAAATGGAAATAATAGGAGATGAGGCCAAAGCCTCATCTGAACTTTAGGGAACCTGCAGCACAAAGAAAAGCATTATAAAAGGGTTCCGCTCATTTCAAGGTCTGGAAAGCAAGGAAGACAGGAGGATGCAGATGAGGTTGCTGATTGTAGCCTAAATAATTTTCCTCACCAATCTGAATTATGATTTCCATCAGCAAGCAAGAAACCATGATTAAAACTGATGACTTCAATGTTGTTTTGCATTTTTACTTTTGAGTTATTTTCCCAGAGTGGCTCATTTTCATTGCTGATTTGCAACCAAATACAGCCTGTATGCTGAATCCAGCCCTTTTTTTGGGGGGTATATCCATCTACACTAATTTAAGCAATTATGTAGCTTGACATACATTTATTCATATTTCTAATTTTCAGATTTTTACATTTGAAAATAGAGAATGACTGATGCCTTACTGAGCAGACGATAACTTTTATCCACAAATTGTCTCATGTCTCATCTGGATGGAAACTGGATTTCAATTAAAAGGGAGCAAAAACAGCATTTTCATTTTTTTTTATTAGTTAATAAAGCTACTTTAAATGTGCCAAGTAAATGCAAAAAAGTCTATTAAAACACATTGTGCATTTAGAACTGTTTTATTAAGCAAAGGGAAGGGTTAATTGAAGTTTGTGAATTGTTTCTGATCACCATGAGTTATATTTTCAAAGAACTAAAACTAAAAGCAGTTGTGGCAGAAGCTTTTCTATCTAATAAAAAATAGAAGTATAGGCATCTGGAAAAAATGCCACAACTTGCAGTAGCTCTACTGTGAAGAGTGAAAGTAATACACTTAACATAGTATAAAGCATTGTGATGCATTATAAAGCTAGTGCTGTCTTCAAAACTTCCTGATGTTCTCCTCTTCATTTATATACTTAAACAAACAGTGCAGTTTGGGCAGGGCTTACTGCTGCAAAGTATTTTTATTTATTAAAATGAGTTTAACAGATTACAGCAAGTTTACGGCTTGCCACAAGTTGTTAACATTTTAAACATGTTTAGAAAGAAACATGTATAATTTCATAGATTTCATAGGCATTAGGGCTGGAAGGGACCTCAGGTGCGAGATCGTCAGGTCCAGCCCGCCGCCCAAGAGGCAGGAAGCCAGCGGGGGTCAGATCACCCCAGCAAGGTTGGCATCCAAGCATTTCTTGAAGGTCTCCAGAGTAGGTGCTTGCACCACTTCTGCGAGGAGTCTATTCCAGACTCTGGAGATTCAGACAGTAAAGAAGTTTTTCCTTCTGTCCAGTCTAAAACAGTCTTCCAGCAGTTTGTGACCATTAGACTGTGTCTTCCCTTGGGGTGCCCTGGTGAACAGCTGTTCTCCCAGATCCTGATGCACACCCCAAACATAAATATAGGCTGCCACCAAGTCCCCCCTGAGCCTCAGCTTCTCCAGGCTGGAGTCCCATGCCTTTCAACCTCTCCTCATAAGGCCTGATCTCTTGGGCTCCAGTCATTCAGCTGCAAATGAGCAAACTAGTTTAATGTTTTTTTTCCTAAATAATTGTTTTATTCTCTTTGGAAGTAGATATTCTTCATTCCCTTTTATCCAAGTCATATATGGTTATATCTGTAAAATGCAATTTGGGAAGAAAGTAAAGGACTCCCGCCCCTGCTAGGACTTAAACCTAGAGGTTCCTGGCAAGAAGGTCTTGCTCTTCTGCTCTGGGTCAGATTTGACTGCCATATTTAGGGTCACAAAGGTATTTTACCCCATTATCAGATTGGAAAGGACCAAGGAGGGTGGGAGGAGTTTGCCTTCCTCTGTAGCAGGGGGTGTGGCCTCTTCCTGGGATCCCTTGAGCATATTTTTAACAACTTTGCAGCAGTAGGATATTAGCCACTGTGATCCCACTGCTTTAGCTGTGGCAGGTTTAGATGTTATGTCTTGTGTTGTGTCAGGGTAGGCTGTGCTAAGAGGTTAGACACTGGATTTGTATGGGATGGTTTGGATAGCGATAATCCTGCCCTAGGCAGGGGGCTGGACTAGATGACCTCTCAAGGGCCCTTCCAGCCGGACTTCTTATGAAGGAAAAGAAACAAGTGATGAATTAAATGTGAGGGAGTAGTAAAAGCCAACAGGCTGTTCAGAAGTAGCTGGTATCACCTCCACAAGGCTTTGCAACCTGCCTATTCACTGCTGGGAATGGTTTTCATACTTCCATGCCCACAGAAGCAGACATAGGAAAAATGCAATGGTTTAGGCCTGAGGTAAAAAAACCTTGCCCAGTGCACTCAACAGGTGATTTGCTTTGCCAGACTCTATGGCACACAGCAGTGAATCGTTTCCACTATTTACACCAAAAGAAAGCTGGGAAGCATCACTGAATTCACCCCTGAAATAAAAAGTGACCTCCAGAGGTTTCACCCGGAGCCCTTATGCCAGGGAAGAATTCAGTCCAGTGGCAGAACACAAGAGCATGCAGGACAGAGGAGATCAAAGGTCTCGCTGGGAACTAAACACATTACCATTGTGCACAAAGGTTAGCCGCCTTTCTTCTCTTGTGTCTAGATTAGATATCCAAATGTCATTGCTATGAATAAACGCAATCCAGTTTGGATCAGCAGGGCACAGCTTGGGATCCATTCGGATGTTTGGACAACTGGTCTCCACCAAATTGGGCCTTAGAGGCTGTTGCTGTACAAAAGAAGAGAAGAAAACTTAGACTGTGATTAACAAAGTTCTTGCCTGTCTATGTGACTGCACCCATCTCTGAAAGGATCACCTGGAAGGCCCATCTTCCTCCAGCAGCCACTGCTGGCTTCAAATGCCTGAATAAAGGAATTGTAAGGAAACCAGGGCAGCTGATGGGCTTGTTCAGTGGTTCCACAGATGCTTGCTGACACCCTTGGATACAGACAACTTTCCCCCGCACTAACAGAGACAGTCAGCAAGCCAGAAGCCACCTCGTTCAGAAAAACTCAGGGCAGCATAAGAAGCTACTCCCGAAGAACGAACCGGCCCCAGCAGGCAGTTGCCTTGCCCTGCAAAGCCACTGGGAACACAGCAGCATCCACCAAATAATGTGAGCAGACGGGCTTCAGGCACTAGGGACAGCAAAAGGAAATGACTTCTGCTCCCAACTCATAGCCTGGCCCTTGCACTGACAGGCTGCTATTTCACAGACCTCTCTTATCCATTACACAGCCAAGCCTCACACCTAGGAACAAGTCATTTCCCTGAAAGCCAGATGTAGGGGCTGCTGCCCACATTCCTTTTTCCCCTTCCCACACCTGCTCTCTGCCGCTGGCAGTCCCACAAATTTTCTGCTTTATGCAACACTCCCATCCCCATCTTGAGAAAGCGTTTTGGTGCCATTATCATGGTATCTGAAACTGGCTCCTTCCCACCTGGACTCCCAACACATTGCTCTTACGCTACCAAACTCCTGGCAGGGGAAAGCACTTAATACATTTAAGCAGGGTAAAGGAAAACCAGTCAGTGTGTGAACTCACAGTGAATCCATGAGGGCCTCCATCTTTGATGTGGTAAATCCCGCTACCCGCCTGAAACAGGAATGTGCCACTTCCCCGGTGGTAGTCATAAGAGGCAATGCCAATGGTGCCAATGCGTTTTCTCTCGCGCAGCAGTTCCTCCTCACGGGAGTACATCCCATAGTCGAGGCTGGCCTGGAAAAGAACCGCAGAACAATATCACCCACTTGCTCTGCGTTTCCCTGCACCTTCAGGAGCAGGCAGGCAGCATCTCCGCAGGCTCCATCTCTGCTGGCCTGTGGTCAGATGGCAACTTGGCCAATCTGGCAAAGAAGAAATGAGCTGTTCCACCGCGAATCCCACTAGCTGCAAGCTGTTCTCTCTCTTCGATATTAGCAATTCTGGGCCCAATTCAGATTTCACGCCTGTCTAACACCAGTTGCAACTCTAAAAGAAAAGGAATTATTCCTGATCTACACTGGTACAAAACCAACAAAAGACCCTGTCTAAGCAGCTGTGCTGCTGATGCTTATAGAAGTAAACGTACTCCACAGTGGGTGCATCTACACATTCAATTAATGCAACACAAACTCTGGAGCCGTTCAAACCAGACTCAGTTGCTCCAGGGTACAGCGTTTACACATTCACCCAGGACAGCAGCAATTTGAGTCAGGCTGGAGCAGGCCCCAAGCTGGCTGGGCTGACCACGCACAACATACACCCGCAGTCAGTATATCTACACATGTGTTTTGGCACAGTAAAGTACTCTGCCGTACAACAATACTGTCCCTGACAATACTACCCTAAGGCAGAATTAATTAGTTTAATGAGTCCTAATACCAGTGCACATGTAGACTGTGATGCTTTACTGCAGAGTTAATTAGTCTACTCCGCAGTAAAGTGCACGTGTAGATGCACCCAGCATCTCACAGAGTGGGAAGGAAAGTGTTATTAGTTTTTGCTTCAATACGGTCTCCTTGCAGTGCATAAGCATTTCATTTAAGCCATACCATGCCCTTGTAGACTCCCTCCAGGGTCAGAAGAGCAGATTCAGGCTATTTGTCTCATGAGTTACACACATTTTCTTCCAAGCTGGAGAACAGGAAAAGGGAGGATGCTCCCTTCTGTTCGCCTTACAGCTGATTTCTCAGAGAAGCCAAAAATGACCTTGGGCTGCTCGACATGTTTCATAGTTTCATAGATTTAGGGTCGGAAGGGACCTAGTAGATCTTCTAGCCCAACCCCCCGCCAGGGCGGGAGAACAACAAAACCCCAAAACAAGAAACGGGACTCAAATGAGTCCAGCCAGGTAGGCATCCAGCCTCTTCTTAAAGACCCCCAGGGTAGGGGCCAGCACCACTTCCCTTGGAAGTTGGTTCCAGCTCCTAGCCGCCCTAACTGTGAAGTAGTTTTTGCGGATGTCCAATCTATACCTCCTCTCCATCAACTTGTGCCCATTACTCCTTGTTATGCCAGCGGGCGCTAGGGGAAACAGCGTCTCCCCCAAACCCTTCTGGTCCCCCCTAGTGAGTTTATAGACGGTCACCAGGTCCCCCCTCAGCCTTCTCTTGTGGAGGCTGAATAGGTTCAGGTCCCGCAGTCTCTCACTGTAGGGTCTGCCCTGTTGTCCCCGGATCATGCGGGTGGCCCTCCTCTGGACCCTCTCCATGTTGTCCACATCCCTCTTGAAATGGGGCGCACAGAACTGGACACAATACTCCAGCTGTGGCCTGACCAGCGTCGCGTAGAGGGGGAGGATCACCTCCTTGGCTCTACTCGAGATGCACCTGTGGATGCACGACAAGGTCCGGTTAGCCCTGCCAACCATGACCTCGCATTGTCGGCCCATGTTCATCTTGGAGTCAATAATGACTCCAAGATCTCTTTCTGCCTCCGTGCTCTCGAGTAGGGAGTTCCCCATTGTGTAAGTGTGCTGCTGGTTCCTACTGCCCAAGTGCAGCACCCTGCACTTGTCCGTATTAAAACGCATCCTGTTCCTGTTAGCCCACCCCTGTAACCTATCCAGATCCCTCTGCAATCTCTCCCTCCCTGCTAGCGTGCTCACCTCCCCCCAAATTTTGGTGTCATCAGCGAATTTAAACAGGTTACTTTCCACCCCATCATCCAGATCGCTGATGAAGAAATTGAACAGCGCAGGCCCCAGGACCGAGCCCTGGGGGACTCCGCTACCCACCTCCCCCCAGGTCGAATATGACCCATCCACCACCACCCTCTGAGTGCGACCCCTCAGCCAATCTGCAATCCATCTGACTGTGTAGGCATCGATGCCACAGTCGCCTAGTTTTTTAACTAGGATGGGGTGAGAGACGGTGTCAAAGGCCTTGCTGAAGTCCAGAAAGACTACATCCACCGCGACACCTGCATCCATGGCCTTTGTGACCTGATCGTAGAAGGCAATCAGGTTGGTCTGACATGATCTCCCCCTAATAAATCCATGCTGATTGCCCCTGAGCATCATTTCTGATGCCGGCCCATCACAAATGTGCTCCTTGATGATCTTCTCAAAGAGTTTCCCCAGGATTGAGGTAAGACTGACGGGCCTATAGTTGCCCGGGTCCTCCCTCTTCCCCTTCTTGAAGATGGGGACCACATTTGCTACCTTCCAATCATCTGGCACCTGGCCCAAGCACCACGATCGCTCATAGAGCCGTGCCAGGGGCCCTGCAATAACCCCAGCTAGCTCCCTCAACACCCTGGGGTGGAGAGCATCCAGACCCACTGACTTGAACGCGTCCAGCCCCTCCAGAAGCTCTCTAACCCGGTCCTCCCCAACCTGAGGTCTGAAGGCGATCCCCTCGAGTCCGGCTTCTATCACAGCAGGGAAGTCCCGGTCCCTGCACATGCTTTGAGCTTCAGAAAAACGCTGCACTGGAATAACCTGAATCAACTTCTAAATACATACAGTTAAAACAGGGGCAAAAAGCGGTGCAGACACACCAACCAACACAGAGATCAGCTAACTTTGGCTTTCTTAAATTGCCCCTAATGGATTTAAGCTAAAACAAAATACGCTGCTCTTGGATAGACACAGGAGTGTCCATGCAGGCTCTTGCCCCAAGTTAACCATGTTTACTTGAATTCAAATTTTAAGCTACACCAGGGCAAATTTCCCAAGAAAATGGAGCTAAATCAGGGGACGTTTCCATGTAAATGCACTCAGGATGTAAATCAGTGATGCTGCTTCAGTGCGCGCCCAGAAAGCTTACAGCTGCAAGGTCAACTGGATTCAAATGGATTTAAATGGATTGAAAATGCAAAAGTGTTCTAAAATGAATACAGTTTAAAAATCACACCTTGGTTAAATCAGGGATACCTGTATGCGACCCAAGCACAACAGAGAGGGAAAGGAAAATGCCTGGGAAAACCCAGGGAGCTGCAAGCTGGCAAAAGAGCCTGGGCAGAAAAGTTGTTGTCAGGCAGCATCATTTGCTCACCTTCCTTTCCAGAGGCTGTTACCTGCTGTGACAGGGCAGACGTGCTGTACTGAGCAGACCATGCTGACCAATGCTGTCCCATTGTTTTCCCAATGATGCATCTGCATCTACTTATTCCCCCTGTCTTATAACATAGGCGGGAATGTTCTCTTTGCACGGCGCCCAACACATGCCTAGGGTTCTAGCATTACAACAGCAACTATTAGAGTAGCAACAGGAAGACAGCAGGTGTTTGCTTTCAGCCTACCACTAAAGGGTGCTGTTAAGCTGGTTGGACATGGCGGGTACACACACAGCTTGTAAGAGAACGATTAGAAGTTGGCTTGGCAGAATTTGATTTTTATTTTTTTATAATTTCGATGGCTAAAAATCAATTCTTATTTTTAAACATTTATGATTTTTATCCATTTAAATTTTCAGGATAGTGCAAAATTAGGGGTGTGGTGGCATGCACACACACACATATGCATACAAACATGTCCACTTCCTCCTCCAGCCCAACACGCATGGGGGAAGTTGCTGTACTGCTGAGCTGTCAGACTGCTGTCCAGCCCATGCTCAGGCACTCCCAAGTCAGCACCGGCTTTTCTTTGTCCTGCAGCAGTTGCTGCCCCCCGGTCCCACATCCCCCTTCCCCAGCAAGGAAACCTCCAGGAAGGCCCTGTTCTTATGTCCCCTTCCTATAAATTTTGATCATTAGCAATGGAAATATTGTTTCACCGGTCTGTAAGTGTAAGGTGAAATCACTGTTTACCAATAAAAATGGAATCCTGCCAAGCCTAATCATAAGACAGACAGCCTGTTCTGAACAAAGAATTACAAAACTGTGCAGAGGCCAAAGAGGAAAAAGACAGACCTTTAGCTCATTCCAGCCAACAGCCATGGTGATCAGTCTAGATGGATAAAAGCACAAGGGGGATTCCAAACAGGACTTAAAGCCTCCTAAGTTGATAGCAGGTTGTTCACCCCAGACCTAGGTCTTAAGGGACAAAGCCTGCCTTTCCATACCTTGCAGCTCTACCTAGGTCTGTTGTGCAGCAAGGACAGCTGATGGGGAGACCATGGCCACTGTAGACACTCTGAGTACTGCTCTAGGGGGTATAAATATGCCTCCATTGATCAGTTAGTCCTTCCAGAGCAAGGTGGTCATGGTGAGCTGCAGCTACAGAGCAGATGGCAAAGGAGGATTTGCAAGGAAAGCAAATGCAGAAATACCTTAAACAGGGCTTGAAGACAGATGTCAAACAAGTTCAAGAGATATCCTTTGCTTATCCGTCTGCAGTGGTATCCAACCTTTTTTTAAGTAGGAGATCACCTTTGGCATTTAAAAGGGGGCCCACCTCCCAGCAGGGAGGTGGGCCCCTACCCTGGGGCCCGAAGAGGGCCCACCTCCCTGCTGGGCCCCCTTCGGGCCCCGGGGGAGGCTCACCTGGGCCTAGGGTGAGTGAGGATTTAGTTAGGGAGCTTCTGGAGGGGCTGGACGTTTTTAAGTCAGCCGGCCTGGATGATCTTCACCCTAGAGTCCTAAAG